TTTATTTTTTACTCGACAACCGTTTGATGAACAAGAAAAATGCAAAAGATCAATTTTGTTGAAAAAAAATGGCCAGTCAAGAAAAAAATATATTTTCTTTAAAAACGCAGTAGTGTACCATTTATGTTAAGCAAAAAAATCGATTTTTTTTTAATTTTTAACACACTGTAGATCAGAAAGGAAGTACTTTAGACCCAATGATTATATATAAATTGTTTTAAGAACACATGAGGAATCACACCATAGTTTTTAGACTAATTCGAAAACACCCTGTATATTGTCAACTTGACAATGACTGCTGATAAATCAAAAAATACCTTTTCAGTGAAAAAAGCCTGATTTTCGCAACAAAAATGTTGATTTTTATTGAATTTGGGCCTGCGTTTGCAAATACTCGTTTGTTTTTTAATTTTCTATCTAAATTTTAAATATCATGGTCAAAAATAGTTTTATTATTTATTAACTGTAAAAATGGCATTTTCTTGTTGTGTTGCATCTTGCAAAGAAACTAACAAGACTGCAAAAATGTACGTGTTTCCAAAAGACGATAAGGTATGTATCTTAGATAAAAGAAAATATATGGTATGTATTCGTTGTTTGATTTTTTTTCGTTCGCTTTAAAATCTAAAATCCCGGTCTATTCATTAGACAGCCAGTCGACTTACGATCATTTACATGAAACTCTGTAAAATAAATAAAAAAATAAATTGTAAAATATGTATATATTCTTATGTTTTATTAAAGTTACTCTGATATACTAATATATCAGTGTAACTTTAAAAATAAATCCTTTGAATGCAAATATAAACATAAAAAACATTTACAGCAGAAAAGGCGAAGGCGCTGGGTTACACGTAGTCTCCACTAAAAACACGTAGGGGCGCTTTGACCCAAAATTTTACTATTAAGTTTCATATCTATCTTAATAGTAGATTATTTTCTATTATCTATGGTTATGACAACGACAATGTCAATATTTTTTGAGAATTTGACGATAGTATGACAATGGCCGTTGGAAACTACGGAAACTACAAAAAAATCTGATTTAACCTCATCTGGCAATAACTAGTAGCAACTCCTTAATATAAAAATTAATTGCACTATCTAGCGACTAGGGCTGGGATTATTTTATTTGAAATTTCCATGGAAACGGTGGAACCGCTTTTGCTATTTCATTTTCCTGTCCCTGGTTAGTATTTTAATTCAATTGAAAATTTCGGTATAGATTACCTAATATTGATGAGATTTTATATCATATTAGACTACTTTTTATTGAAATTCGGTGTATTATCTTTGTAATTAATCTTATTATCATTGTGGCTGTTCCAATATTAAAATATCTGGATATATCCCCACATAAAAAACCTAAACTTTTTTTAAACTGCCACTGTTCCAAATTTATCTCTATTTGAACAGTTATTCTCGTGTTTTATTAAGTAGGCCGAGAGCGTTCAAAAATCTCATGATATTGAATGTTAATTCTAGTAAGTTTTACGCGTGCTAATATAATATGCTGATTATTTTAGACCTATAATTTACATATTAATTAGTGCTAATAAACCTCTGATTGGTTATTCGTATAATAAGCTACAGCCTTTTTCTTTTGTTCGACACCACTGAACCAATAATGTTTTAATTAAAACTGGTGGCGTGCACAAATTCTTTAAAAATATAATTATCCATTATATTTAATATTTAATTAGTTAGATCTACTAAAATAATTTAAACTCTAAAATACAAAATTTATTTAATTTTATTAGCCTGACTAAAAACGTTGTCATAAAACCGTTAATTTTTTATTTAAAAATAGTTTTAATACTACCACAGAACATACTAACCACAGAACATACTAAAGAAGATCGCTAACTCCCGTGTATTTGTTAGTTTCAAATTTAAAGTGGTGCCATCTAGTGTGCCAGGAATGAACTCAACCTGGTGGAAAATTTGAATAAACCATATTTTATTATTTTTATGTAAATTGTTTGAAATGTAGATATAGTAAACGCCACGAATGTTTGGGGATGATTCATCGCTTGATGAAGTTAGAATCGACACGTGTGCTATTATTTTTACATTAAAAACGTAATTGTTTACCACAGACGTAGGTTTTTAAAGGCCCGGTCTAATCATCTACCGGTACGCCTCTTACTTATTTTAGAATATTGGCGTGATTGACAAAGACGATACTATATCGCGTTTCTTTGATTGATTGGTCTTTGTGCGTCAGTCCATTGGTGTGCTTGCAGTGCGACCAATGGGGCATTCCAGTTTATATTTATAACCAAATATATGTTTTGACAAGACTTTGACAGTTAAAACAACAAATTACAACATATTATATATTGATTACTATATGACTTGAAACACCACGGCACTGGAATTAAGTTTTATGTGACCTTGAACAGATTAGTTCACATGGTAGCGACCGATGAATCACTCCCAAACATTCGTGGCGTTGACTATACAATCAGATTTTTATAAATCAGTATAAAAACTTATTTTCTTACATCTGAATGTCGCTGACTGTTCGTAACTACTCTGAGAACAAAGAAAATAATGTATAAAGGATAGGTATTAATTAAAAAGTGGTAAAATATTGTAGTGTCAAACCCTCATTTTACAATACGGATAAAAATAAATTCAAACTATAAGAGCGGTATTTATTAATAAACCTAATATAAATAACCTATTTTAAAATAGTTTATTCGAAAAAACTTCATCGAAATAGTTTTATAGGTATTATTTTTCAAAAAAATTTATAGTAAAAGTAATTTAAATATTCATAAAAATAGAATTATTTACAAAGCAAATCTGGTAATAAAATACGTAGGTAACTGAAACAATTTAATTTTAAATAAACAATGTTTTCAAATTACTAACTCGTTTTGTGAAAATTATGTTTTTTTTTTATCACAAGCTACGCCCTTTCACCTTTCGCAATAAAGATCTAAAATCACAAATCCAATGGAAAAATACATTAATTACAACAACGAAGATCGAAAGTTCAGAAATAATACTAAACAGCTGATGATTTACCAGTATCAAATTTAGAAAAGTGTGGTTTAGAGCAGTAGAAAAAGAAACAAAATAGCTTGCTTTTTGCTAGTTTTTAGTCAACTATAAAAACTTGATGCGCCATCTAGTGTGCTAGGAAATAACTACCTCAAACAAAGTCGTATATCTCAGTTGACTGGTCCTGGTTATAACACATTGAGAACGATGAAAAACAACATTGGTACGTTTTTACAATCTAGCAAATTACTAAATAAAACAGCCATTGCTGGCGGCCTCAGTGGGTAACTTCACGCTTAACTACACCTAACTCTCTGTCGGGGGTTAATGCCTTGCTCTAGCATACAGAGTGGCCCATTAGTGCGAGGAAGTCCAAATACCAGACAAAAATGGTGGGTTTGATAAAAATTTACCTTAATAAGCCTTAATAAGAGATTTTTTAAACAATTTGTAGCTAAATTAATTGACTTTTTAGTATCTCTTTCTAAATTAAACACGAAAGTTTCCGTCTGCCAATTATACGAGGGAAAACGAAATGTTGATATTTTATAGAAATTTGGAAATACCCAAATTTTAACAAAGCAAGCAATTTAAAAATCATTTTATCATCTAGGTACGATTTTTCCCGATAGTTTGTTTTTTATTAATCTCAATAGCTTTATTTTTATTGGAGATATTCGTTTTTGAATAAAACACTAACGATTTATAGTAATTTTAGCATTGAAAGCATGCCTTTCTGCGGAACTTAGGTCCTTATGGACACACTTATGGAATAGTGTTTATTGTTTTTGTAGTGCCGCTTTAATTGAAAAGCCATATCATTATTGTTTATTAACATTTACTCTAGTTGAGATGGTTTTAAGTTCTGAAGTATTATTGGTCTATTGGTGCTTTAATTGATCATGGTAAAGATCAACTTTTGACTTAAAACCATCTTTGACTAGTACCAAAAGCAAATGTATGGTTTTAATGTAAAAAATACGAAAAGATGTTAGTGTCTTCTTCAAAAGCGAATATCTCCAAAAAAAAATAAAGCTATTGAAATGAATCAAAATACAAACTATCAAGAAAAGATACACCTAGATGATAAAATTATTTTTTAAATTCCTTGCTTTGTTAACGTACTCCACAGGATGTTTCAAACTTTCACCAAAATATCCACATTTTGTTTTCCCTCGTATAATTGACAGATGGTAACTTTCATTTTTAATTTAGAAAGAGTTACTAAAAAGTAAAATAATTTAGGTAAAATTTGTTTAAAAACTCATCAAAATCTGTTCACTAGAACACAATATATAGAACTTTATATTACATGAAAATTTCAAAGTACCCGTTTTCGTGCTGCTGACTGTATAATACTGCGAGTAACTGCGAAATAGTTAAAAAATTAAGAAATACAAAACATGTTTATTTTTTCATTTGCATCTAAAAGGAAAATAATATACACGGTGTCGGCATTAAAAAAAAAATAGAAATAGCATTTTAAATATTGCGATACAATATAATGTAAATTTTCCTTCGTTGGTTTATTCTGTTATCTTTAGTGTTGGAAAATGTAGCTATGTATTAATAAAATTATATTAATTTCAGTTTTTCACTACTTTTCCAGGAGTATTTCTGGAAGTGTTCCAGTACTTTTAATCAAAGTTTTAGTAAATAAGGAACAAAAAAACCCACACATAGTGCATCAGATAAAAATAGTGTACTATATGTCCAATTTTTTGCTCTATCCAATACGGTAAAGAAAAATGAAGGCAGCTACTTAAATAAATGAAAACATATTCATAACTTTTTTGTTACGTCCTGTATACAACACAATATTTTTTAGGATATGCACCTTTTAAACACTTATACAAACGTTAAGTAAAAAATAACCACAAGATTATAATATATTACAAGTTGTTATAGTAGTTTAGTCCGTCTAGGATGGAAATGCTTTGCTGTGCAAATTTTGTAGCTACCAACTATAACTTAGGAGTTAAACTTACCTATAACTATCCATATTACGATGCAGTTACCACCTGTTGCAATTAATATCATAAGAGCGAACACTGAAGTCCATGCTGCTTGCACCCAGAACGGCAATTCCGAATTTGATTCCTTTGTTAGCGTTTGTTCTATTATTGGGCCATAATCCAGACCTTCGTAAGATTTGTTTAAGGGCCACATCTAAAATATAGACATACAAAAACATATTCTTAATAAATACTATAAATATTAAGTTTTTATATAGAAATATCTTAAAAAATCTTATTAAATATTAAAGATTTCTCTCCACGTGATAATAACTTAGATGATATTATTTTTAAATCTTTTTTATATTAGTTGGAAAGTTTAAAATTGATTAAAAAAATTATCTGTAACGTTTGAAAAAAAATAACATGTTCTATTCGGAGTAAAAACTACTTTTTGTCTCGCCTGAAATGTGCAAACCAAACCAAACGAAGTCAAACGTACATCCTCGACGCAAGAAGTATCATTTTTACTTGTAATAAAACAATATATAACTGTGTTTTTTTTTCTTAGGTAAGATCCGGACAGACGATGACAGAAGAAAAGCAGATAATGTCCCATACCAATCTATTTATTTTACTAAAAAAAGTTTCTAATATTTTTTAAGTTAACTATGGATGGGTTTAAATATAAATCCGTCATCAGCATGTTGTTTTTAACTAGTTTTATTGGTTTATTTCAAAAATGACAGATCATATTTCAATTTTATTGGTTTGACGGAACGATGAACTTTAGATTTTTGAGGCTCGTCAAAGTCTTGCCATATTATAGGTTATAATTTTGTGTCAACTTATGTCAAATACCCTGCGTTTTGGAAGATGATGCATTTTGATTCGTGTTATTACGTGTGTTTTGTGTCTTTTGAAGTCAAGTGGAAGAAAAATCGAGGAAAAATTAACTGTAGACCCAGAGCACAGTTTATAGTTAATACTCGCTGCCCAGGCAGAACCACCTATACAGTCTTATACACCAATAAAGTTACCATCAATAAAGTTTGTAGACCATCTCGTCGTAGATAAGTGCATCTCGTATATTTATGGTACAAGGATCGTACTAAATATATACTAAAAACTGGAGTAGCTGTAAAATATCGACATCACACGATAGGTAAATAATGGATTTTAGTATTGCAGAAAAATAATGTCAAAAGATACTGGCTTAAAAATTAAGATTAAAGTTAATTAATCAACCTATAAGGTATAAAATTTGACAAGAAGTGCTATTATTAATAAAATAGTTTGTTCTATTTATGTTGTTTTATTTATTCCTGTGGAATATTACAAATTTGTATTTGTACATAAGTTATATTGATAAATATAATAATAAATGCTGGAAGTTTCTTGAAGCTTGAAAGTAAGAAATAGTCCTTTTTTATATTTTTTGGTATGTGGTGTTTTGTTCTTGTTTGTTTTGTATTAGCACATACCGTTTTTTTAACTAAAATAATATTAAATTTTTTCAGTTTTATACAGCTTTTTTTCACAATATTTTGACGTAATCACTTGTCAGTCAAAAATTAAACATATTAATTTCCTGCTATGCATTCCAATTGTACCAACTTATTTCTTTGTAAAATAAAATAAACTGCTTTGAAATGAAAATGATAGACACATCTATCACTGTCAAGGATCTTGTCGTTGGACAGACTATAGCACTATCTGCTACTTTTAATATGCACTCTTGTATTAAAGACCTATACTAACAAAGTTAGATTGAAATATTTTATTTGTTATTGTAGGGTAAGAGCTTAAAAGTGTTGAGATGTAAAAAAATATTGATAGCCCAAAAAATCAGTTTCATTATGTAACTTTTACTGCTCTGTTTTTATAGTTTATTTGTGTATTCAAGGCACGTAAAGATAAGGGATGAAACAAATGACCTAAACATATGCTACAAGATATAAAGGACCCCGTTTTTCGTTTGGTCTAATAAAACAAAAACATTTGTGCCTAATGAGGGTTCCAATACCAAGACTTACTATTGCTTAAATATACAGGCATCAGAAGCTATAAATATGTTTGACTATATTACAAATATTTTGTAAATTTAAAAATAGTTGAGACACTGATTGGAAATAAATGTAGATAAGGAATTTACAATAAAAGTGGAATATGTATAATTAATTAATAAAAAGTTTTTAATATTTATAATGTACTTTTTTATAAAAAAAACTAAATGAGTAGGTGAAAACTTGATAACAAATTTTATTTAGTGCCAGACTGGCGTTAAAGTGGCCGAGGAAATTTAAAAATCAATAAAAAAGTTTGGCGAATTTAATTTTGTACAGTTTGTCGTTAGCAGTTTTGAGTTAGAGTTAATTGGTTTCCTCTTGTTACGATCATTTTCTGTCAAAGAAACTTTCCAGCCTTATAATTTGCTGGGGTTTGCAAGTTCCGCGGTAAAACAAAAAAAAATAATTAACTTTACGGTATGGAATTAAGTACGTTCTAAAAATAGCAACAGACGGTTAACTTTTATGCATATTTTTAGTTACTGACAATTTTTAGTTCTATATTTAATTATAGACATAATTCTTCTGGCTGTGATTCACAAATGATTAAAAATTGTCGCAATTGAATGTGCGTCATCTTTAAAGAAGGAAGCTGTAATTGACATTAAATTAAACTTATAGTATGGGAATCCGAGAGAGTATTAAGGGGAGAAACCTTGCATCCTGTTAAGTACCTTCACCATACATGAACATACATATGCAGGGTACTACTAATTCGAGATACGAGCATAGGTATCTCGGAAACCGTAATAGATACGAAGATAGTTAAATTGGGGCAAAGTTGCGCTTTGGGATGTTCACCAAGATGCCATCAAAAAGTTTTAAGAATTTCAAGGATTGCTGAATTTTTTGAAAAAAAAACGGATTTTTTTGAAAATAAATTTTATTTTTTCCTGTCGTTAATTTTTTAGAAAATCGAAAAAATAATTAGATATTCTCATAGCCAGTTTATTTGAGCTATCTGACAGTGTTTTTAGATTTTCAAATTAGCTGATAATTTGTGAAATACAGAGGCCGACTTATTTTTTGTAAATACGGAACTGCATTTTTTATTTCAGATTGCAGAACTCGGTTTCCTGAATACAATGATATGCCACACTTTATACATTTTTTTTGTTTTGGGTACCTTAACAACAACAAAACCATTTAATTATTATTTTAAATAGTTTTGTTGTTGATAAGGTAATATTAAAGTCTGACTCTGGTTTTTTAAATGTAGCTATGAAAATGTGCAATTAGTTTTTTGATTTTCTAAAAAGCAACGACAGGAAAAAATAAAATCGATTTTCAAAAAAAATATGTTTTTTTACAAAAAACTCCGTAATCCTTGAAATGTTTAAAAAAAATTTGACAGCACCTTGGTGAAGAACAATTGGAGCAAAGCGCAACTTTGCTCCAATTTAACCATATTTGTATCTATTACGGTTACCGAGATAGCAATGCTCGTATCTCGAATTTGTAGCACCCTGTATAGGGTCGTGCGTATAGGGCAGCCGATCAGAGTAGAAAAAAAATTGTTCATTAGAAAAACTAGAAAGCGTCATATTAAGGAATTGTGAAGTATAAAACAAATCAAATATAACCTAAAATACATTCAATATAAGAGTTTTTTTAAATGAAACGTTTTCATACAACTAATTATATTAAAATAAATAAAAACGAAGGTGGTATACAGGATGTTTCAAAAAACATGTGTCATCTCTCGTGGGGAGATTCCTCACGTAAAAATAAGATTTATTTTTTAAATCAACATAGGTCCATTCTGCTTTGTTTTGTAGCTACAGGGTGTTAGTCTTAATATTTTTTCGATTTATTATAATTTTCTTCCGAGTACTTTTAGCGTTTCGAATGAAATTTTGAGGGTAAAAAAGTGTCGACTTATTCACCAGGGGCGTGCCTATGGTTTATGACTGAAATATTTTTCTTAAAAATACAAGTACGCCACTGACTTTTTTTCTCTTCTTAGCGCATTAGTGTAAGCAGTTTAAACTTGATTAAAAGTTGTCTCTTGATATTTTGTCGATTTCATCCTCGTTGGTGAGATAAACGCAATTTTATTAATTTGCCTTGATCCAAGTCTAATAGTAACCTTTAAAATAATTTAATATTATTTACTTGCGAAAGTTTTAAATAAGTACTCATTGATTCCCCATCAAAAAATATAAAGAATGTTAAAACTTTTTAAAAATTAAGTTTTTTTAAATTATCTTAAATACTATTACTTTTTTATTTAAAATTGCTGTAGGTTGGACTAAAAGTATATAATATAATTTATTAATTTTATTTTTATTTTAATTTTATTAATTGTGATTAATAAAATTGCGTATATCTCATCAAGGAAGCCGAATTCGACAAAATATCAAGAGATAACTTTTAATTGGTATTAAACGGCCTACACAAGAAAAAAGTCAGTAACGCACATGTTTTTTTGAAAAATATTGTAGTGATAACTCATATCCACGTCCCTGGTTAATCTATCGACACTTTTTTAGCATTGAAATATGTAGCACTTATAGTAACTTTTACTCTCTAAATTTTATTATAATCACTAAAACTACTTGGAAGAATATTATAATAATTTGAAAGATTATTAAGACTTTAACACCCTGCAGCTTCGAAACAAAGCAAAATCGGACCTGGACTATGTTGATATGAAAACTAAATATTAGTTTTACGTAAGGAATCTCCCACGAGATATGGCATGTGTTTTTGAAACACCCTGTATAAAGCAATGTACTTAAGGGATTTAAATACTTAAAAATCGATAATAACATAAGTATTTTAATTAGCTAATATGCTTATGATATAAAAGAGGCATATTGCTTCTCTAACCGTTATTGGAAATTTCCCTTATTTTCTTTATAGATATTTTGTAAGCAAGTAATTTATTTCTGATATATTTTCAATTAAATTGATAGATGGGGAAATATTTACCTAACTTATAAATAAATTGTAAATAAATTATCCTTGAAGTAATGTCTACACCATATGATCGAGAAAAAAAAACGAAATTGCTTTTAAAGTTACAATATAATAATATTTACTTAAAATTGATACAAAGACTTGTTAACTACAAACGACAGTAGGTACCATAATGTACAAATTAAATATAAACAGAAAAATGATAGATTGTTATTTATTTATA